GAGACACTGAGCCCTACAGGAAACACAATTCCATCATGAAGTGCCATAACTGTTTGTGCATGTTCATGGGTGTGAACGCATGCCTGTGGGAACTGTGAGATGTCTCAGGGGTCCAGCTTTGCAGCCCACTCAATTGTCCACCCACATTCCGTTTTGAGATTCCCAGTGGACGAACACAGCACAGCTGACAAATACAGATGTGCAGCCCTCGCCAGGTGTGGGGGTAAGGTCTGGTTTGTGTTTCTCTGACTTCCTCTCTCTCTCTCTCATACACACACACACACACATACACACACTCCATTTCCCCATCCTCTGTTCTCCAATACCTAACATAATGCCGCCCCCCCCCACCTCACCGCCCCATCCACCAGTTTGCTTACCATGGGGACTTGTGTACCATTGCCATGCTAGAAGCTAGGGCACCAGTATTTTGGATGCTAACAGGGTTGCCCCTAGTGCACAGATGGCAGCTGAGCTTCCAGACTAATACAGACTAAGAAGAAAGGCCTGGTGATCTCCCTCTAAATAATTAGCTAATGAAAACCCTGTGGATACAGAATACTGTGCGGTAGCATGCTGGGGGAGGAGATGGCACGGGGCTTGGCAACAGCATCCTGTTGCATGTGGGGTGGCCAGGAATGCCAGCTGGCTGGACAGTGCTTCACAGTCACACGAAGTCTTGCTCACAGACACTTAGGAAGTGTTTGTTAACATTTGATAAGACAGGTGGCTGTAGTTCATTATCAAAGAATGAGCCCGGTCTCTGACACTGCTGTTCATGGAGTGATCACAAAACATCTGTTTGCCCCATGGGTGGACTCGCAAGAAGAGGAGGAGGGAACCAGAGGATGGAAGTGCTTGAGGCCGCCTGTATGACTCTCCTGGGGTTTTCCCCTTCCAGCTCCCTAATTCCTCCTTTCCCATAGGGCCCCTCTCCAGAGGCAGATGGGTGCGTGGGACTGAAGCCAGGCCAGCCTTTTGCTTCCTGAGAGGAATTCTCTACACTTCTCGGTCTGTTCTCCTCTCCCCACTACGTGCAGTTATGAACGCTCTGACTAGCTCATTCTCCCCAGGAGGCCCCCGTGCTTGGCCAAAGGGAAGGGAGACAAATGGAAACAGGCATATGTGGCAACAGCTAACTCAGGCTCAGCCGGATGGTTTCTATCCCCACACTGTGATGCCCGAGATGCTGGCCATTTGGATACAGTAGCAAATGGGAGTAGGCAGGAATGGAGGGCTCAGATTGAAGCGAGGGATTCTGGGGGGTCTTATGTGTGAGAGAGCTGTCTCTGAAATGTGGTGCATGCGTAGGAGAGGGGGCTTCAGGACGTGTGCGGGGAAATCCCATTAGCTTTTCACTGCATTTTCCATGACACCCCCCGCCCCCTATATAATGGAATACTATGTAGTCCTAACGAAAAGGGAGTTCCCGGATCATCTTGCAAGGTGGGTGAACCTGCGGGGGGCAGATGCTGAGCAAAATAAATCACTCACAAAGGCCAAATGGTGCACGATCCCTCTTCTACGAAATGACGAAATCAGATGCATGCACAGAAACAAGCGGCTATTGGTGGTTGTCAGCAGTGAGGGGAGGAAGAGGCAAAGTCAGTTTCTAGAGAATCATCACTTTCTGCATGTTTTTGGTGCCATGAATGGGAGCACCAAATATGGTGATGTTCCCACAGCTTGGCTACTATTATTGGTGCCACTGACTGTCCATGAGAACATGGATGAAATAGGGTTGTGTTATATATAATACAACCAACACCACATATGATAGAGGAGCTGCAGATGTAGCTGCTACTTAGGCAGAACCAGTCATCTCACTAGGTTAGTTTTCTTGATTTGAAGATTCAAGGTCACAGTTTCACAGGTCAATTGAGCCAATGGACATAACATAGTGCATGAGACAATAGTTCCACATTTCAGCTTGGTGAATTGCCTCTGGGGCCTTAAAAGCCTTTGAGCAGGCACCAAAGACACAACTATTGGTCTCTATTCATCTGGAAGAAGAGAATGAAGAAAGTCCAAGAATCAGAGAAGAAACAAGAATACAGCACTCATGGATTACTTGGTCTCTGCTACTTGGGACGAAAAGACCTAGAAGGTGCCCAACTACCACTATCACCCATTCTGAGCCATCACAATAACAGAATCCTGACAGAATGGGAAAAATGTAGAACATGACTTCAAATTCTCAAGGAACCCAGATCGACAGCATTGCTTGAAAGACTCTTTAAATTCTGAACACAAATGATCCTCTACAGTCACCCATTAACTAAGTGGCTCAAAAAGTTAAAACAAAACAAAAACACCCTTAAGCACAGTGCTTTTGAAAAAGTATCCCTGTGGTGCCACTGAACAACAGGTCTTCCAAACACAATGAGGAGTTCGGGCGGATAGGACAGTGAGATTGAATTAATGAGAGCAGACCAACTAACGGCTGTCCTGGTGGCGTAACGGGCTATGCACTGGGCTGCTAACCACAAAGTCCATCGTTCGGATCTACCAGCCGACCCAAAGGAGAAAAGGGAGGCTTTCCACTCCCAAAAAGATGTGCAGCCTTGGAAACACAGGAGCAGTTCTATCCTGCCTGACAGCGCCCCGATGAGCCTGAATCAACTTGAAAACAACCAGACTCCTCTGCTATCAAATGGATACCAACTCAGAGCAGCCCTACAGAACAGGGAAGAAGTACCCCGGGGATTTCTACGACTGCTAGCTCTTTACAGACTCGGCAGTAGAAAGCCCCATCTTTCTCCCTCGGGGCCGCTGGTCACTTCAAACCGCTGACCTTACAGATTGCAGTCCAAAGAGTAACCACTACGCCACCAGGGCTCCTTGAGTTGACTAGAAAGGAAATGACGACACTGTTGACACCAATTAAAGACTACATCCAACACTGCTGAGCATTACATGTAGGAAAGGTTGATTGGGAAACTCTTTGCTGTGTCTACAGTCTACGACGGAAATTATAGGTACTCATCTGTACGGGAGCATACTATTAGCGAGAATTAACATCTTTTCTGATAACATCTTTTTTTCAAAGCATGGAAACTATCTCAATATTTCTATGTTATCAGCTCATTGAGATGATCTTATTTTGATGCTTACGATTAAATAAGATAGACTATTGCAATAGATTTCATTGTTATTTTCACGCGTTTTACCGAGGCCGCTAGAAAATGTCCAGTGACGGACATGGCCCGTGCTCCGCCGCCACTGGGCAGTATTGCGGGAGAACCATGGCTTCCGTCAGGATAAGAATCTGACATGCCCAAGATAGTGGCCAACACACACTTTGCTGGCACACTGCTATCACATGCCTCCCCTCGGCAGGGCGGCAGGGCAACTAGAGCCGTGGATGCATGGTCACAGCCACGGGAGAAGACAGTGGCCTGATCCCATGGAAGAGGGCACGTTGGAGGGAGGGAGGCGAAAGTAAGATGTGTCCTAGGGATGGGAAGAGGCCAATTCAGACCCCGACCCGACTTCGCTGGCATGCTCCCTCCACCCCCAACATCTGGTCTCTTCCAAAGCTGAGGTCGGGGTCGGGGTTGGCAATGATGGAAGGAGAAAGGTTTAGCAGGGAGTTCTTACTTCCACTGGGTGGAGGGCTGGTCGGAGATGTAACCTCCATTTCCTCAAAGGCCTCCTTGTAGCTGTGCAGATGGGGCTGTGGAGGAAGAACACAAGGTAGGAAAAATGGGGGATCCACTTGTCACCAGGGCCCTGAGGAGGATGGACTTCCCTTTCGGATGGCCTGGGAAACAAGGCCAGTGGAGATTAAGTGAGATCTGAGTCATTCACAGCCCCGACAACTCCCTGCCATTTGAGAGAGCGAGAGAGTGATTGTTTCCAAGGCCATTGTCAAGGGTGGGTGACATTGGGGAGCACTACCTTGGAAACATCACAGTAAGGCATCAGCCAAAGAGAAAGGGCTAGAGGTGGGGGGGCTAGGTTCTTCTCAGAAGACTGGAGGGGAAATACAAACATACGCCCAAGCCATTTCTATCTAGAATGGCTCTCTAACCTGTATTCAATAAAGCAGCTTGACTCTCTCTCTCCAAATGTGGTCCATGGGCCACCAACATCCAGGGGCCATACTGAAAACGCTAATTCCTAGATCCATTCCAGATTTCCTCTTTCTCTGGGGTAGGCTTGGAAATCTATATGAAATCCTATGTGATCTGGTTTGATGTTAGGGGCTGTGGTCACCCCCAAAACACCCAAGGGGCCTGGCGGCATAACAGTGAACCGGTAACTAGAAAGTCAACCATTTGAACTCACCAATGGCTTCTCAAGCGAAAAGGCCTGGGATCTACTCCCTTAAAGATCTACTCCCTTAAAGGCCTGGGACAGCCGATGGGGGCCGTTCTACTCTGCTGACATAGGGTCAGGTGGCACACACAACGTGCCCTCCCTGGGTTTTTAACTACCCTCCTCAGGAGCTCTCTTTCAGGGTCAGGAAAGGGACTTCAATCTCAGGGCTAATAGGGAAGTGTCAAGAATTGGAGGCATCAAAGCTCTTGGTGGGTGAGGTTAAGGGGAGCAGGGTGCAGATTACGCATGCCCGCAAAGAGGGCTGTGCTGTGGGTGAGCACACGAGGAGGACCGGCTACTATGGAGTTATTGGGATAGCCCCACCAAGAGCTTCTCCAGGTCCCCAGCTCCAAGGGGGGGATCCCACTCCCCTCTGACCCGTGACCCAGGAGCATCCAGAGACTCACCTCTTTGGGACGCCCTCCAGGATTGAGAGCAATGGTAAGAGCCAATTCTGGGGAGACGCACTGAACAGGAGAGCGGACCCCGGCACTCCGGGGGGATGTGGGTTCTGGAGACTGGTTCTCATACTGTCCATCGCTGGCCGCCCGCCTCCGGAGAGGGGCTGGGGGCTCTGCAGGAGGCTTCTCCCGTGCCTGCACCCCTGGGAGAATGGCAGGGTTTGGGGGTCATAAGTATAGGATCAAGCAAAATAAACAACCAGGCCTAGTCCCCTACCAACCCCCACCCCCTACCACCACCCTCTTCCCAGAAGGTAGTCATCCCAGTTCAAAGGGAAGCTAGAACCAGGCCTGTCTTGCCTCAGCACCCCCTCAACCCTCCCCCATCTTCTCTTGGGCCCAACTTGGGCCACACCTGGGCTCTCTGCAGGGTGGGGGCTCTGTTCAGACTGGGCTCAGCCTTCCCCAGGAATCTCCACTCCACATTGCCTTGAGGCCACGGGCAAACAAGGGCTGATACAAGAACTGGATGTCACCTCCATCCAACCCTGGAGGCAGAGGCCAGGGCTACCAGGCGAGGGAGGGGAAGGTAGAGGGAGGGAGAGACTGTCTCCAAGGCAACTGCATCAACCAACAGGCAACATTGACCCCAAGGGGAAAGAGCTGAGAATGAGTCATCTTGCAAATGGTGCTCCCAGAGAGAAGGCGAAGAACGGAATGATGTGGTAGAGTCCCCAGCCAGAACCGGGCCCTGGGACTGCTAGCCTTAGGGGTTCCTCCATCCTCATCCAATGCTCCTCAGAAACCTCTCCTGTCCTCCCTTACACTGCCCCTTCCCTTATGCCCACCTGCTTTCTGGGCCCAACGATGGCGGAGCCTCCCACCCAGCCTCTCCCAGCACCAGGGCAGGAAGGAAGCCCGAGCCAGGGGCACAGCCCCCACCCACCCACGGGGCCTGAAGACGCTGCTAGCCTCACCAGCCTGCCTTCCCACTCCCTCTTCTAACAGCTGGGGGAGGCAGGGCATCCGTTGCCTCATGCAGCTGGCTCCCAGAATCCTAGAAAACAGACTTCCTAGGGCCCGGAGGGCAGGGCTTCACCGGGGTCCAGTGGGAAGGCTGGACTTCTGATGGCGACTATCTTCCCAGAGGAGAATCTCAGCCCTGTCAGGAGGTGTTCCGGGTCACAGGGCCCTGGTCAAACCAGCCTCATGCCATCAGCTCGAGGGGGAACTGCCCCACCATGCTCATGTGCCCACGCACACACGCTTACTGCTGGTCCCCAAGACTGTGTCAGAAAGGCTGATGGAAGCACCTTCTACCATCCAAAGTAGCCCCACCGTCCCCACTCCCCTGACAGAACCACAAAACATACCAGGAGAAGTATAAGCTGGGAGCATCCTTCTGACTTGTCATGAGCAAGCTGCCTACTACCAAGAGCTGGGATTGGCAAGAGGGCACACACACACACACACACACACACACACACACACACACACACACACCACAGTCCTTCTGAGACACTCACCAGGCCTCCAGGTGCCCTGCTGACACATGACCTCTGGACAGAAGGTCCCGGGACGAGGCCCTGAGCCTGACTGTGAGCAAGTCCACGAGAAGCGAGTGCCGGGCTCTGGCCCCACTCTGATGGCCACAACCTGCTTTCCCGGAAGCACCACGCCAGCCTTGAAGGGCCCTGCTCTTCAGACGAGGAAAGCAGAGGCTGCTACAAGCCCTGCCCAGAGGAAAGGTGGGCTGAACGTGTGCTGAACTGCTCCATCAGGGTTTCCTGGCCTCTAGTGCAAAGACCCTGCCCTCGGCCATGTGTACCCGGCCCTGAAGACCCCTCCCCACCCGCAGGCCTCCCGAGAAGCCTTGGTCCAGAGCGAACTTGGGTTCCATTCCTGGCAACAAACATGAAAGGGAAACAGACGGGCTCATTGATTTTCTAATAATAACTGTGACAAAGAAGGCCCATTTAGGAAGGGCTCGTGGGGTTTGGAACAGAGACCAGCTACAAGGTTAAAAGAAATGCATTCGAGCTGGTATCCGCTGATGGCTCCCCCTACTCTCTGGCAGCCTCTTTCTGGAAGATTCCTCAGCCTTTTTAAGAGGTGGCCCGGGTTCCCTGTGAAGAGGTTCAGTGTTTGCCTTTGAAAAAATGGGCCTGTCTCAATCTGAGGCAACAAAATCTCCCAGATGGACCAAGAACATTCTCCCTGCTCTGCCCGGGCATCGACTGCAGTATGGAGTGGGGCTGGCCAGCAGGAGGGCTCCCCAAATGTGGAGGGCATGAGACTTGGCAAAGAGGCCACTGAGCCATCTGAGAACCCCATCACCTGAACCCTGTCTGCCTTGCTCTTGGGAGGCAGGGACATGGACAGGATGACCTCCCAAGACCGAAGGCGCTGAGGGACAGAGCTTCCCTCTGCAGAATGGGGACAAGCTCACATTCTGCTCCCACATGGTCAGCCCCTGCCCCACCCAACAACTCCCACCCCACCACCCGGCAGCGACAGACATCTCACACTCTTTGGACACAGTGTCTCACTGTTGTCCCCCCTCTTGGCAAGCCCGGATCGGCCCTCAGTGCCTGGCGAGCCGTGTGCCCGCTCTCTTTCCTTTCGTGGTGGGAGGGGAGGGGAGGCCTGGCAGGGCAGAGGGGAGAGAAGGGCCCCATTGTTCCGCAGCCAAGCTGGGACGTCTGGACGCAAGTGGACAGCCAGTGTCAGAAAGAGTACAGCCCTCCCTCACGTCACAGAGTCGGACTGTAGGAAGAATAGACAGCACCCCCACCCCTGAGACACACACACACGCACATGAGCGTGCACACACGCACAAAGCATGCATGCACGCACACGCGCACACACACACACACACACACACACACACACACACACACGCCCTCCAGATCTCCCTCCATCTTGGACGCCAGGCCTTTCTCGGTCTCCCAGCCTGTGCTCGCTCAGGGCCTCGGTCTCTGTGTGCTCCCTCCTGACACACAGACACACACATGCAGGCACAGGCAAGCACGCTCCCATAAGCAGGTGAACACACACTACCCCGGCCCACCACGCATGGCAAGAGAACTGGGGTGACAGCGCTACGCACAGCCCCCATGTCCTCCTCGGGCCATCCCAGAAGGAGAGCAGCCCAGTGGCCTGAGGGTGCAAATGAAGAGGGGCAGAGCAGCAGGCCGGCATTCCGACTCGGGGGTAAAATGTCCCACAATCTTCAGAGCAACAACACCTCACGTTGCAATAGCCCATGCGATCCTCCCGGGCCCATTTCACAGCCTCTCCGAGGCTGGGCTGGTGCTTCTGCTCAAGGACCTACTTGTAGGCCCCAGACCTTTCCCAGGAGTCCCCACCCTGCTCCCCAGGATGGCGTTGTGCTCAGGAACAAGCTGGACTGGGGGTAAGGAATAATCTTTGTCAAACACACACACACACACACACACACACACACACACGAACAAACGCACAATTGTAGTTCTGGAAGCTGCCATCTTAAACACAGATATCCATGAGCTGACAAAACGCAGCCCCCTCATACCCTGGGGTCAGGCTTTGTCACCTGCTTTCCGTCCACCGCCCCCCCCACGTGGCCCACTCCCCCTGCACCGAGGACCCAGCTCTTCTTTCTCCTGCCAGACTTCCGAGTTCCTCAAGACCGGGTTCCTCAGCTCCAGGCGGCAGAGCAGGGTGTCCGGCTGCATGCCTGGGCTATGGAAGCCAGGGGGTCCAGGAGGCCACCTGCTGGGCCAGGGCACCATAAAGCCACACCACAACCACACTAGCAGCCCCAGGGCAAGCCATGCCAGCTCCCCTCAGGGCAGGCCTACCTGCCCAGATCCTGCACCCACCCCCAGCTCCCCTGAACACTGCACCCCACCACTGGGCCGAGATGGAGGGGGGGCAGGAGGAAGGGGACAGTCTGCTAGAGAAGTCGGCAGATTGACCATGGACCGAGGGGGGCAACCAAAGGAAGCCCTAGACCTTTTCACTGGGAACCGACAGCCCCCCACCCTCCAAGGCCTAACCTGGAACTGCTCGAGGTCATGGCCTGGGGCAGCCAGGGCTTTCCTGCCCTTGACCTGCATACTTGCAGAAGCAGAAGGGCCGGGTGATGTCCCCTTTGGGTGGGGAAAGCCTGTGGGCCCCTATGTCCAAGAGAAGAAAGCCAGAGCCAATAGTCTACAGCAGTGGTTCTCAACCTTCCTCAGGCCTTGACCCTTCATACAGTTCTTCACGTTGTGGTGAGCCGCCAACCATAACATGATTGTCGTTGCTACTTCATAAATGTCATTTTGCTGCTGTCATGAACCGGCGACCCCTGTGAAAGGTTCGTTCGACCCCCAAAGAGGTCGCGACCCACAGGTTGAGAGCCGCTGGTCTACAGCATCTTTAAATGTAGTCACCTGTCCCCTGATGAGGGTCTGCCGAGTCTGGGGGGGTGTTACAGCCACCTGGCAACTAAGAAAGGCCGGCCTCCATTTCTCAGACCGGGAAGCTGAAGTCTGAGATCTGCCAAGGTCACGGAGGTGGTCACTGGCAGAGCCAGGCCACAACCACCTGGCCTTCTGACTCTTGGCCACAGGCTCTCAGATCAGATATTCAGAGGGGGTGATGGCAGGCAGTAGGTCATGCTCTATTCAAGAGGGGACAGAGCAGCAGGTGCTGGGGCATCGCTCTGGGCCTGTCCCCAGTGGCCCATGAACACCACAGCCAGGCCACCAGGCCAAAACTGCCGGAGTGGGAGGTCAGCCCAAGCTCTCGTCAAGGGACATCCTCCTTGCAAAGGTCCCCATCTCCATGCGGAGCCCCACCCCACCCACCCCACCCCACCGAGGGAGTCTAGTGACTCCAGACTCCATTCCCAATAGGCAAGGCCAAGGCTGGAAGCATCACACCTGGGTCCATGCAAAAATGGGAGCACTGCTCATGCAGGGAGGATGGCAAAGGTGTGGGTGGAGAGAGGGCAGAGTGGGCAAGGAAGGAGAAGAGGAGGCGGTCAGGAAAGGGCCAGAGGAGAGGGAGTAAGAAAGAGGGAGAGGGAGAAAAGTGAGGGGGAACTGAG